CGTTCCCGATCATGATCCTCCTCCTTCTCGAAGATCCGGGATAAGGCGTCCGGTTTCACATTCTTAGAACCGGGTCTGTAGGAGAGGGAAAAGTTAAAGCAGCAGAAGAATAAGGCCCACCTGGCCTGTCTGGGATTGAGCCTCCTGGCGGTCTTCAAGTACTCCAAGTTCCGGTGGTCCGTCCACACCATGAATGGGAGCTTGGAGCCCTCCAGCCAGTGTCTCCATTCTTCAAGCGCTAGTTTGACTGCCAAGAGTTCCCGGTTGCCCACGTCGTAATTGCGCTCAGCAACAGACAGTTTTCTAGAAAAATAAGCACAGGGGTGAGTGCGGCCATCACAGGACTCCTGGCTGAGGACAGCCCCAACCCAAGAACTAGAGGCATCAACCTCCACAACAAACTGTTTATTGGGGTCCGGGGAGATGAGAACGGGAGCAGAGGTAAACAGTTCCTTCAGACGTCTGAAAGCCTTATCTGCCTGATCGTTCCAGGCAAATCTTGTCCTGCTTGAGGTGAGGGTATGGAGTGGAGAGGCGACCTGGCTATAGTTGCGGATAAATCTCCTGTAGAAGTTGGCGAACCCCAAAAACCTCTGGAGCTGCTTACGATCACCAGGAGTGGGCCACTCGGTTACAGCTCGGACCTTGGCCGGGTCCATGGAGACCTGACCAGGAGATAATATGAAGCCGAGGAAAGAGGTAGATGTTGTGTGAAACTCGCACTTTTCAGCTTTCACAAAAAGTTGGTTCTGCAGGAGACGGAGCAGGACGGAACGGACATGTTGCCTATGGAGGGTGAGGTCGTCGGAATAGACGAGAATGTCGTCCAAATACACAAACACATAACGTCCAATCATATCTCTGAGGACCTCGTTGACAAGATTTTGGAACACTGCTGGAGCATTTGTGAGACCGAACGGCATGACCAGATACTCATAATGGCCGGTTGGGGTGTTGAATGCCGTCTTCCATTCATCGCCCTCCTTTATACGGACCAAGTGATAGGCGTTACGCAGGTCTAGCCTAGTGAAAACCTTGGCCCTCTGGACCTGGTCAAACACTGAATTCATAAGGGGAATAGGATATCTGTTCTTAACAGAAATGTCATTAAGGCCCCTATAATCTATACACGGGCGGAGTGAGCCGTCCTTCTTCCCCACAAAAAAGAACCCAGCACCTGCGGGTGAGGAAGAGGGGCGAATTATGCCTGACCTTAGGGATTCACTGATGTAGTCCTGCATGGCTTGAGACTCGGGGGTTGATAAGGAATAGAGGCGACCTCTGGGTGGGGTGGTACCAGACAGCAGGTCGATCGCGCAGTCATAAGGGCGATGAGGAGGGAGACTTGTGGCC